CCTCTGTTTTTAATCTTCTTACTAGTCTGGACTAGGTCAACAGACAACACGGACTAGACATGACTGGGCTCAAGGACATTTCAGACTAGTACAGACGTATTTACAAGACACTCCTCATTAAGCTGACTAGACTAGACGAGTATGCAAGACGTTTCAGACTAGACTAGACGGCAGCTGCGGACATTTCTGACTAGTCACGTCGGCAGTCTTCCTTCATTTTTTGCTTACTTGGGTGGCAAAAGCACCGGAAACTAACAATACATATTGTCTCTATATCGTTTCTATATTTATTCTTTGATTTCCCATTTTCGGTTATATATCTAGTTCGCCTATTCGGAAATCCTTACTGGAGCCATGATGCGTTACCAATACTCTTCTATTACCCATAGTATGTATTGGTTCTTTACCTGAACTATGGAACAAAGTTAAAATGCTCGACCCACGAGGGCGACGGGAAGCTATGCCAGTAGTGGCTAAATCATAAACGTGATATTCTTATCATCAAACTTTGACACAACTAGTACTCATCGAAACTATTTCTATCTTCGAGCAAAAATGAAATGATCCAATAAAATAAACTAAAATTACTAAATTTGAGGAGACCAGTTAGAAGACAGGGATGTCCCCAACGTAATTGTATCTCTGTTTTATTTATATGTAATAAAAAATACTTTAGGTTGATGGTCGTGAATGTCTGCAGTAAATCGTTTTTTGATTGATAGGCAACAATGTGTCACCAATAGTGCTACAAAGCTTGGCGTGTGTGTGTAACGGTAATGTCTTTCGAACTGGCACACCCACACTCACGAGTTATCCTTCGATCGCCATAGCAACTTTTATGGTTTCGATGAAAATAATCATCGTGTTAGATGCTTTAGTATTTAAGAGACCCGTTAACGTTGTGTGATTTCTTCTTCTTTTTCCTTCCTTGAGGATGTGGATGCGCCCACACCCTCGAGTGTTTGTTCAAATGAAAGTATGAAGGCAATAAATGATTTTCTTTATATGTAAACAAGTAGAAAAAGTTAGTACTACGAAAAAAAGATAGGGATATAGATTTATGCGCGTTTAATGAATTAGACGCAGGCTCATTTGTGCGTAGAGTTACTTTTTCATGCGTCGTATCTAAAACAAAGGTATTTATTTTTTTGAATATGGTTTCATGTATTTTCAAGATAGTTTAGTTAACATACTTGTGTAACAGCTGGGTTTTTTGGTTTAGCGTGTAAATTTTCTGGTTTCTTCACATTAACAATACGAAAACTCTCTAGAATACAAAGAAGCACTATGTATTCTTCGAATTTCAAGAAAACTGTGATTTCGATCTCTGAAAAATGTAACTAATGGGGATCCGTTTGCGGTGGCGAATGTTCTTTTGATTTCGGACTCGATAATATTCAATTACATATGAAAAAACATAAATTGTAGCCATTCTAAGATCTCATACAGTTTGATAGAATCTGGACCAAAAATATTGAAAGTGATTCTCTCGTAAGATAATAATTATATTTTTCGTCATCGAGGATAGGATGAACTTCATATAAAAGATCTTACCAAGAAATTCATTGACATCAATTTTTCCATTTTTATCCAAATCCATTGCCGAAGTGAGTTCTTCAATATATGCTTGGTTTACATCGCCAACACCATGTTCATCATAGAGTAAAAGTTTAATAACATCAGAAAATTCCTCACGACTTATAAAACCTGTGATATATAGTTGATAGATAAATCTTTGTCAGGAGCAACTAAATTTTACCTGAATGGTCAAGATCAATTAAATTAAATAATGTCAATAGTACATCTTTCCATATATATAGATGTTCCATAATATCTGTATTAGACTGGAATAATAAGAGTGTTGTATTAATGTTAAATTTCTTCTTTTTTTCAATACCTTTTGAAATTTCGCATTATCTAAAGTATATTCTTCAAGCATAGTTTTATAGAGGATTCCTTGTGTGTCCTCTTTTACAAATTTTGAACGTAAAGTAAGCCAAGGCAAATCAATTTGAAGAACATTTTTCATTATATCCGACCAAACTGTCGCAGATAAATGATCTAGTTAGAAAAATAAAATAATATTCTGAAGAAGTATTATTAAAAAATCACGTACTAGTTTGATTTCTATCTGATTTTTCGAATTCATTTTTTAGTAAGCTTTTCTTTGCCACAATTTTCTTCATTAATGATTGATAAACTGGATCTTCAAATGGCGCTACTCTATAAATGCAGCACAAGAATAACAAGCACATATCTCTATTTCAATTATTTAACTGTTTATTAAAACTTAATTTTTCAGTTGGACTAACATCTTGTAATGTGAATGAAATAATACATGGCTCGGCTGACTCATAATCCCTAGATTAAGTTTAGTATTTAAAATGAGAAAAAACAAGAATCATTGTTAGAGTTACAAACCATCGTACAATAGCACTCGAATTGGATTCATCACTATAATTCGATGCACTGAAAACAGTTAAAACTTTATTGCCATGCTCAAATTCATAACCCTTTTCTTTGACTTGATGTGAACGTATAATCATTGAAAAGTGATTTTTACTAAGAAATTGTTTTGTTATATCCGGACCAAAAAAACAAGCCGTATTTCTATCATCATTCTTTCGGCATCCTGGACGACCCTCAGGATCCGGATCACTCCACAATAAATCTAAATATATTTAGTCTCAAATACATGAGTTTATGTTGTTTTTTTCTATTATTAGTACCTGCCATTTGAAGATATTCGTCTTCTTCATTTTTAGTCAATCGTTCACCACCATTTTTCGATTTGGGCGGTATAATAAGTGAAATATCTACAAGTCGATAAACATAAAATTTTTTATTTTATTATTTTCAAACTTACATCGATTTCGTGTAAGAGAATTTATTTGTTTTAAATTAATTCGATTAGATATTCCTCCATGTACTATCATAACATGAGATTTTCCTGTATCAAGATTTGCATAGATTGGTAGCCAACTAAACGTATCTTTAAATAGATCAAGTAATGGTGTTTTACATTTCTAAATATATTTCCAGTAGATAAATTTATTTTCTACAAATTATTAACAAACTGGATATTTGCGATTAATTTCTTCTTGAAAACCATATCGAGCTGTAACTACAATATCTTCATGATTACCTGTTAATTTTTTAGGAAACAAGAAAAAAGAATATTATATATCTAATGAAAACATTAGCAATAATAATATAAGCAAAATACCTCGATTAAGAAAAACTGAACTTGGATAAAGAATCAAAGCAACCAAAAGTAAAAGAATAACTTCAACTGAATTCGGACCTCGATCAACAAAGTCTCCATTGAATATATATGGATTATCAAGTGCCGGTAGTCCATTCTAGAAATAAATAGTTAAAATAGAAAAATAAACATTATTATTAAATTGCTATGCTACCGTATGAAATATATATAATAAATCAGATAACTGTCCATGCAGATCGCCAACAATAAATATATGATATAGATTAGATAAATCGATACGATTAACATTTGGTAATGTTTTAAGTATAGAACGTGCTTGATGAAGAATTGCATTGACATATTTTTCATGCAAAACCTATTAATAAATTATTGAATAAGCTTAAGATTTTATGTCATGTGATCGAATTTATCTATTCGATATTGTTTGTAGTCTAGCAAAACTATCTCTTAATAGTTGTGAAATATTATACGCGTGATTATATTCAACTGTGATTTGATTTGTAATCGAATGTATGTTTTGTTACAACATGAATCGTGTAGTTTATCTATCAGGAAATTCACATTCGTTATGCTTTATTTTCTCATAGAGATGTTTTTAAAAATAAAAGATTCACTGAATTTTTACATCACAAAATTATTTATAAATCAACTTTTATTTGAAGCCTTTTGATATATCTAATTACAGCAGTCTGGATGAAATGCTACTACTTCAAACCCATGATTTGTAATTACGTGTACATGCCAAGTATGATCTCGACGGTTCAAGCTATTTTAACTTTTTAAATAATGAAAATTGATATGATCATGATTAGAACAATTTATTATTCTTTGAGAATACAGCACAGATAATGTTATTTCAATAAAAGAACTTGTTTTTAGTGAAAATCTATCTACAAAATGATACTGATGAACCTTAATACTATGAATCCGAAAATAATTGTCTGATGTCACTTAGCTTCAATCAGATAACAAGTTCAGATATAGAAACAAATCTCCGCACAAGTCCTGCTGCAGAAAACATTACTTCTATACGACACTATTTCGTAGATAATAGTGTAGTAATGTTACGATTAAAATATGCTAAGCAACTCTTGAATTTTAAATCTACTAAAAGTTTAAGTCTTAATGATTGATTACCTCTTAATAAATTCAGCTTTGAAAATTTTCTTTATTTTTCTAATCCGACTTGTTTTTTTATAGAATATTCTTAATATTCAGTAAAATTGTGGTAATTCTTTCGAAAAGGCCACTGTATCCAAATTCTTATGACGTTTGTGATTTTAGTTTAGTAGTTCTCTTTATTTGTCTACCAGATATTATCGCATATAACGAGTCTGCTTCATGTAATAAATATTGTAAAACATTTCAACTTTTACTTACCGTACATCAAACGTAGTGACTGAGGTAGAATAGTTCTGTATAAAAAAAAGCTTTAAGGAGCTTTCTTCCTATATATATAATCTACTAGAAAAATCCAGTTTATATCATAATGAATTTTCGGTAAGATTAATTTTTCTATCATATGTGTCAAAAATAACTTGTGTCTATTTTGATATTTTTTTATTAACTTTTGATAGCAACAATATAGAGAGAACTGTAATTTTCATCGTTCGAAAAGAGAGCGTGAGGATGAATCGTACGATTTTATAAGGATTTACAATGTTTTTGTCACTACTTTTGGTATGCCCTAAGCAATTTCTTTAAGAAAGAATTATTCTCGGTCAAAATATTTTCCTCTGACATATTGACATCAATATTATTGACGCAGAGAATGGCAAACGTCTATTAAGAACGTATAATGTAATGACATATTTTCAATCTTGCATAATAATTAACACTAAAACATCATCAGGAATAAGTTCCGTAACGTTAGATATATCTACTGTGGCATGCTGACACTACGCCACAATAATAATTGCTTTTTCTTACGTTTAGTACTGTTGACTAATCGTTGTAATGAGCCTAAATATCTAAATCTATCAATACACACAGTACTTTACTTTATCTATAGGGAAACTTTAAAGTATTTCATCATGTTTTACATCCTATACGTTTGCGGATTGTGTTGAATACTTTTATTTCGCTTACTTGTTTTTTTTGAAAAGCTTCAATCAAATCAACAAATGTACTCCTTGTAATTTGACCTTTGATATCTACAGAACATAAATGAGAACTATGATTTCATTGATTCTAAACAAAGCACACACTTACGTGGTCCTCGATAATTAGCTTCAACTTGAATATCATCAGGATTCGTTAATCTTAAAAGTTCTTTTTCTTCTACATAAAATTTCATTGCATTTATTTATTATTAATTTTGTTTCAAATAGTACGTTACCAACAGGTAATCCAGGTTTTTGAAGTAGCTTTGTAACAGACGGTGAAAGTATATCGGATGAGTTGAGTAATTTTTCAAACATATCTCTAAGCTAAGAGGCGAAAAAGAAATTTAAAATAATGATGAAAATATAAAAAGATATTTTGTCTTTCTTACTTTTCCTTCAGTTTGTTCGCTTGAATATTCAAGTTTTTCATGTATTTTCCATGTTGCTCGATCTTTTAATACCAGTCGAGCTTGATGATTACGAAATGCACCTTGAATTTTTGTTGCCGCATCACCAGCTAGAATACAAAAACAAAATTATTTTCATGCGAATTATCTTGTTCATCCAAAAATTTTCTTATGGAAAAATGTGAAAAATAAAAATTCATACCAGATGATTGCTGATACATTTTCAATTTATCTAGTAGAAATGCTGATTGAATTAAAATCTAAGCAAAAAGAACAAAAAGCAAATTCTAAAAATTTCATCCTTCTACAAAAATCGATCGATTTCTAAACGTCGGAATATAATTCTATTCATCGAGTTGTCAATTGGTAGAATGATAGCAACAATCATCATTCCATAATTAAATACCGATTGGCTTTATTGTATTCCATAAGGACAAATATGTTAAAGACATCTGGTACATACAAAATACGAATGCTCTCTTATCAGGGAGAATCTTGAATAGTTTGCATACCAACGACGAGGGAAAGGCTGAGTTTTTTTAAGATTCTATAAGCTTTTGATTAAAAATGTCTAAATCTGAAAAAAAATTCTCATTCAAATATATTAGAAATGTGATGACTTTATAGCTAAGGAAGATTCACTAAGTTTTGCATTCTAAATCTTTTCATTAAAAATTTGAAGTCTGTGCAGATATTCGGATTAAGTTCGAACAGCTATTCTAGAATATATGCCAGACTTATCAGTTCTCGAGCATTGATATGATAACTATTCGATAGCATGTGTGATACACAATGAAAAGAGATCATTCCAGAACAGTTCAGAGTAAAATTTACTCTGCAATATGTACCAGTTAGTTTTTTCTGCTACCTTCGATTTGGTAGAAGAAATTGTCGAAAATATTTATAAATGTTTTCGAGTGTATGACCGCGAGAGTTCACTTCATCCACGCCCATCCCCACACGAAAGAAAATAATCTATCATTGAAATGAATCGATCAAACTTCGCTTAATGTTTTTTACGCATCAGATATTTATTTTGTCGTAGGTTGAAAATTTCCCGGAAAAAGTTTTATAATGACTTTTGCATCATTATTTTTGTTCTCGTTCTAATGTTGACCACGCTGTCGCTGTTGTAAAAGTTGGCCGATGAAAATAACTGAAAGACATATGATTGTCAGTTACTTTAGTAACAATAATTCGACCACCATCTTCTGTAATACCATCTGGAGGAAAGATCCTTTCTTCGAATGTATAGCGATCAGCAGTGGAATCTTTTTCTATTAATGTCCATTGGCCACCACTACCACCAATTGATGGATATTCTATTCGAAATTCGTTCTTCTCCGTGTTGGCAGTGAGTCTTATCGACCAAATATATCCTTCTTGTTGATAACCAGCGCCTGTCCAAACACCATCAAGCCAATTTTGAGGCATGCAGATGATAGATAAGAAAATGAATCTAGATCTTTATTAGAAGGCGAACTGAGTTTGTTGTTTTAAGATTCAGGTTTTGAATTTTGTTAACAAGAAATAGAGATGAAGTTTGCTAGCTTGATTTGAATTAGTCTAGTTAATAAATTCACTTTTTTTCCAAGCAGAAGAGAAAAAAGTGCACCACTTTTGTCCAGCTTATTTATTTGCTATGATATGACATCGAGTGAAATAGATTATTGATCCATTTGAAATCAAATAGCATATACCACCAATAGCCCTTTTCTTGCCATGACGATGAATTATTCGTCTTGACTTTATTGACTTTTTTCTGTCAACCATTATTCATCGATACCGATACATAAAATAGAGCTGCAAAACGGTCGATATCTTCAACTGAATAAATCATTTATCAAAAAATATTGACTCTACTGAAAAGTATTGTTGGTAATTCGATTAGTGACTGCTGACGTCCCATTTCTCTATTGAAACTCGATAGTCTATTTACCAATGAAATAAGATATCTTCTCAAGCACATTATTCTTGCGTCTTTTGCGATCTTCTGTTCCTTTCATTATAATAAAAATGTACAGGCGATTGTAATGAAGACAAAGGCTGTGAAATCAAAACTGTGAAAGACGATATAACCAATAATACTAATCGTATGGGCATAATTCACTGAATTGATTTTCTTTGATTTCAATTTCAAGAATAAAATATACACACGTGCTGATTTCTGTTTAATTTTATGTACAACTAATAGAGGTCATGACAAATCTCAAATTCGTACCAGTTTTCACGAAATATCTGATCGCTGATATTTGATTTTTCCAAAAGAAATCAGATATTTACTTTCTATCCTACCGATACTTTAAAACTCTCAACATATATAACATGCTTGCTTCCTACCTATAGTTTCAAATTCGTAGCAGATAACAGATATGTACTGTAATTGTAAAATTTAGAATCGTAATCTCCAAGTAGTATATCAGTGGTGTGCTCTGTTATCAATTTTTTGTGAGGTCATAGGTAACACAGTGTAACTTCGATTATGCAATCGGAAAGTTTGATGAGAAAGTCGTGTACGAGACATTTAGTTGTTTGCACATTTGTAAATTGTTTCAAGTGAATCGAGTAAGAGTTGTTCGCTTTTTAGTGCATTTTTGCGTTAATTGAGAAGAAAAATGGACGTGAATGGAAAATTTTGGGTGTGGGTGTCGAGTGTCAGGTTGCGCGTGGGTTATACTATTTGTTACTACACCCGCACCTACACAATCAGGTTAAGAATATCTCCTATCTAAAATTCTGTTTCTTTCTTTCAATTTCTCATGTTCGACTTATTTATATACAAATCATATACATTCTTTCTTTTTACTTTTTTTTGCGCTTCTAATAATAAAAAAGAAAAATTTTTGTGGAAATCAGATATATTTTCCAAGAAAATGGTGGGTGTAAGTTTAAAAGCGAGATTTTTGCTGGTCCCAACCCCTCCCCGCCCCTCCCCATTACAGGCTTTAATGAGTTTAAAATTGTGCTAATTAGGAGCTTGACTAATTAGACTGCTATTTCTTCTTTTTTTAATTACAGACTACACGAAAAAAGCAATTCTTGCCCATTACAGATCATAGAAACTAGTATCTATCATTGTTGAATACACGAGCTAACAATTAATATTCCATTGCAGACATAAGAAAATAGGCAATGATCTAATTATAGGTTTTCGAAATCAAGGTAGATTTTTCAGATGGACTATTTTGAACTATTTTAGTAAGTCTAAGGGGTATATGTGAGTTCCACATTTTAGCCCAAACGGGGCCGCGCTAACAAGCTTTTTGAATTAAATTTTGGTGAAATTAAATAAGTAATTAGCTGTTGAAGGTAGTATCAAAAGATATGTTAACACTAAATAGAAATACGATGGATCTGTTCAAAGTCAATTTCTAGGCTGCTCTATTGCCATTTATTTTTCGCTTTCTGCTAGTTCATCATTCATTGACCGCTTTGTTATCAACACAAAAGGATATAAATGCAACGCCGTTAGACGCATACAATATAAGTTTTCGAGACATAGTTTTGTTAATTGATCCTTAATCAAGGAAATGTCAATCCTGATCGATGATTGGGAAAGAGCTACACTGAAGCAGTCTGATGAGAATCGGACCGCCTCGGAATCGACCAGGTCGCGTGATGTGATTTGTCAGTTTTCAGAACGGAAACAATTATATGAAATTAAATTAAAGGAAAAAATCGTAATATATATTTCGAAAAGAACCAGCGAAGTACCATAGAATATCAATCCAATGTTAAATATCGCATAAAAATCATGATTTATCGTTTAAATCGCTTAAATAATCCAGAAAATCGGTGATTCATCGCGATTTAGCGCACGCCCATTGTTTCGATGAATCTGAATTTATCAGCAATTTTTTACCGACTCTAACGACATGGGTAATAGAGAGCCTTACACTAGATAAGGAGAAAATAGATGCATGATGAAGCGACCCTAAGTAGACAAGAGAGGTAACACAAAAAAAAGATTCCCACACTTGAGGTACCTTAAAAAGAAAAATTACATTCCATTTACCATATTACTTCTATCGCTGTTAAATCGATTACAAAATATTAATATTATTTGCTTTTGTATAGAAAAAAAATAAGATATTTTTGATTTAAATGCTTTAAAACTAAAACTAAAAGTAAGTTTTACTTTTCATCTCGAAATCATCTGAATTTATATTAAATTTATAGGTTATTGTTACTTGTAGTAAAAAATGTTGATAGTTTATTAAACGGTCGAAGTTTTTCTAGTATTGAGTTATACGCTCATTATTTCCATATTATGTCTCGGCGAAGCATCATGCTCACTGGAGCTCTGTCGTCCAGGATTCTTCGAAGTATCCTAGCTTAAATCCTGCTGCCATTACATGTCTTGAAAAAGTTTGTTAACGCAGCCACTTTGGGGCTAAAATGTAGAACTCACATATGATTTTTCGACTAATTTACTCATACATAATGCATGGTGCGATATTTGCTGCAAGAAAATCGATCAGTAGAAAAAATATCTTATTTTGTTTTTGCATGCTTGCTAATATCTGTAATGCAAGGTGTCTGTAAGTGGGTGTAATGGGGGTTTCTAAGGGGGTGTAAGTGGGTCTCTAAGGGGGGGGAGGAGCCATAAAAATCTCGCTTTTAAACTTACACTCACCATTTTCTTCGAAAATATATGTGAGTTCCACAAAACCTTTCGAGGCTATGATGTTTTATTTTTTAAATTCACTTTTGGAAAAAGATCGACTGCGTATCTTAATATAGTTGGAGAGGTGAGATATCTTGAAAAAAGCAACATAGTTTGCCATGAATACCGAAAGAGTGATTATATTCTAAAAAGGCGATCAATAGACTTGTTACTAACCCAAACACCATACCCCGGAGAGGACTACAAGAAATTATTATATTGAAGAGATCAAAACAATTCTATGCATAAATATCTAGATCTTTTAGACGCTTAGTTACATGTTGATTACGTTACTTTAGGAACTTTCGCTACATCTTTTATTTAATGAGCAATTGTAAAGCCTACATTTATAGCTTATTTTAAACATCAGGAAGAAAGAATGAAGCGACTCGGTATCGGTAGCCCTCTTAGTTTCATAATTTCAGTTGGAAATATACTCTCAATCTTTTTCTATAGTAAGATTGAAATTTCATAGGAAATTGTGCGTCAATTTTATGGTCGAAATCTAGAATAACTGAATTGAATTTCAGTGCAATAATATATATGACTTTTTCAGATGGATCTTTTAGAAAGAGTCTCAGTGGAGGGTCTAGAATTTTGAAAAATAGGAGCCAACCATGGGTAAGGATGAGCGATTTCAGCTAAAAACCATTTTTCGAAGTCAGTCAAACTTCGCAAGGTTACGTTGTACTTATTTTAGATATTCAATAGTTTGAATAAAATGTTATTTTCGAAAAATTTAATAACTTTCTATTTGTTAATGATTGCAATAACATGTAACGATGCTAAATCAAATCTACCACCCGGTTGCAGTTGCTACAATGGCACTGATGGTATTTTCCCTCGAAGCTGTTATATTCCTGGCTGTAGTCGTGGCAATAATGATGGTTGTAATTCTTTGAATGTCCTGATTGGCAACAACTATCGCATTCAATTTAATAGCGGTACCGATGTTGTTCATGGTTGTAATTGCCCCGACTTTAGTTACAACAATGGTACTAGTACTGGTGACAATGGTGTTTCTACTAATACAGTTGATACTCCGATAAGTACTTATTATCAATACACTAATTGCAATAATATTGATGTTAGTCCTAATGCTGTTATTTGTTGCAACTTTTGTTGCACATTATCGAAAACGCCTACAAGCAAATAGTACAGCAACAAATACCGTAAGTCTTACGAGGAAACCATTCGAGTTGCCCAAAGATTTTTCCAGCCACCTATGTGTTGGTTCAATAGAGCATAGGTGGAAGTGAAAATTTAGCGGCGATACAAAATTTTAACTAAAATTTGCTTCCAGGACTACATCTTACACATAAGATCAGAATTTTAAGCTTTAATATGAGTAAAGTCTCATATCAAAATGCAAAGCTTTAATTTTATGAGGAAGTTACTTTTCAATAAACAAATTCTAATAAAATATCGATATCTTGACCAGATCTTCATTTTCGCATTAGGTATGAACCAATATTGGCCATATCACGTCAAACTATGCACCATCGAACCATCATAGCATGGATCGAACAGTTTTTCGATAACTCGGATACTCTTCTTTCGTTTGGTTATTGCAGAAAAATACTTATCGGAATTAATTTAACATAGTTATAGTGAATTCGATATTATAATCGTTAATCATTGAATAGCTATACAGTGGTAAAATAATTTATTTTGTTTTTCTATTTTAGGTTTTCTAAAAAACATCAATCACTGCTCAATATTTTCTAATGATTGAATAAAAATGAAAAAACACTTTTTTTTGTTTCAATTGATTTTTTTAAACAAGTACTTAACATTATTGGACTTGTCGATCGTGAGCTCAAGTCAAGTCAAATGTCTGAAAAAATATTCGACTGGAATTAGGGTGATGTGAGCTCAGCTAGCCAAGATGTATTTCGATCTTGCTCAAGAGTCTCTTCAGTCGGCTTTAACTCTTCTAGAGTAGTTCAAATGAATAAATAATCGTCAGGGAAATAGAATAGTCTGAGCTAGTGTTTTGAGATATTAGGGAAGACATGTATCAGTTCGTTTTGGTTAAATGTGTGATTTAGTTTACTTTCATTTGGAGATGTCCGTTCGACTTATGTTTCGGGTAGAATAACAGTATGCAGGTTAACCAGCTAAGTGATTTTATTTCACACTTGTTTATGATACGAAAAATTGCAAAAGATATCTAAAATGGAATCTTCTATCACTTTGTGTTGTTATCGCTGTCATTTTTGATTTATCTGTGACTTTCGTTGTTTCTTGTTGGAACTTCGTGCAGTAACTCTTGACTGGTATGGTGCTCGTCGAACTAATTCTCTAGTTTAACTATTGCTATCTCTTGTGTCGAATATTAGTTTGCTGAAAATAATCGATGTTTTACTAAAGTTAGCTTGCTAAATGTCATGAATGTTCGACTGATAGTGACAAAATAGTTTCCTATATGTAAAATGGACAATGATTGAATGCTGTTTTATCTATTTGACTGGCTGTAGTGTTTGCTGCAATGATACTAATGGATCAAGTGCATCAGTATATTGGATCTCTTTCGTTTTTAAGCTATTCTCACAGCTCTTGGCCTTATGAGACGCTTGCTCCTTGCGATGCTTTATCCGTTTTCATCAATAGTTATCTGGTAGATTGAAGATGACTTCACTGACGTGAGAGCTGTTTAAATAACTCTTCAAATTACTAGTTGATGTATCGTACAGGATATGCATATAAACAATATGGAAAAAGAGTTCTTATTATCCCATCGCGTATGTGTGTTTTTATTCATTTTATAGCAACATTAGTTTGATTAAACGTCATTTATGATTGAATTCCTAAAGCATGGAACTCTATCGAATAGCTCAAAGAAAGAGCTGCCGATATTGCATCACAAGGAGATTTGATCCGGCTATCGATCCATGCCGGATCCTATCGAATTACAAACGGAAACCGACAGGACATCCTCCTACAATTTCCGGTGAAGATCATTTTCGCCAGCCTAATATGTAGATTAGTGGTCAGTACTATGCTGGAAATGACATGGTTATCTCTCCTTTAACTTTGTTAACTACCTCGGATCAACATCATGCAGTCTACAAAACCGATACAAACACTGAAACCATGACTAACATGCATACTAGGCATAAAATTCACATCCAAGTTACCTCACATAAAACATCTAAAAGATACCTCTACCGCAAACCGAGGAATAGTTTTAATTATTGTCACTCGTCAAAATTGATGAGAGAGTCAATAAATAACACTCGTCCCGTTCATGCTTTATCCGAAATAATCCATTCAAATGATAAACAGTAAATATCGATGGAGTGATCAGGGATAAGACCAAGGCAATACTAGTTCTGTGCAAAGGATGTGGGTGTGGGTAAAGAGAAGACGAACACCCATACCCGAAGTCGTGCTACGAGAAAAACAACGTTCTTGAGGATCACCGTTTAAACAATTCAGAGTGGAAACCAACTGACGAGATCCTTTAGCAAGGTCGAAATCTGGATCTTGGCATGCTTTACCCACCCACCCCGTCACCCCCTGATAAGTGTTTTATTGTTTAAATAAATAACACGAAACGCGTCGCCATAAGTAACTCTGCATTATATTTATTTATTAGTTTATTTTGAATTTTCTACAAAACCGATTGCTGAAAAGCAAAATTGATACTAACAGATTGAATTTGTCTTTTCTTCAAAAGGGTGTAGGTGTGGGTGTGAGCTTTCTCATCATCTACACCAACAATCGACATTCAATCCTCACTCACACCCACACCCTCAAGGAGAATCTCTTTTTTTATTATTAGAAATTTTTGCTTTAAAACTGTTGGATAATATAATATTATGATTATTATTTGCTTGAAAGTTTGTCCAAAAAACTTTTGACTATGATATTTCATAGTAGGAGATATGTTACTATAACATCCTTCAAAATCATTAGCAATTGAGAAGATTACTTTAGCGGTAATAGAAACGCTCTTGCTAGCTTCTGATTTTAAAATATCTTCGGATAAAAATCAAACACACCCACACCCACACCCGTTGGAAGATTAGACATCTTTTTTTTGAATGTATTGCTGGCCTGAGTGTAGAGATACAGTGAAAGTGCAATTGCAAAATAGTATCCCTGATTTTATAACAATAATTGAAAGAAGAAATTTTAAAAGGTTTAAAAAAAGTTTAAAACACATCAAGCGTAACCGGTCGAAGGTGAAAACAGGTTTGAGTAGATCTATTTGATAATTTTCTATAAAATTTCTCATTTGGCCACCGTTCGACAATGCTTCCTTGATTTTTAAAGCTATTTTAAAAAATCAATCGACAGGTGCGGATCCCTCATACCATTAGTTTGAATGAGCTGAAATTATTTTCTTAGATGTGTTATAGTACGATTCGAAAAAAGTTTGCTTGCGTCAACTTTCCATTTGGCTTCCCTGAGATCGTAGGAATTTTTTATTGACATTTAAAAAAAAATTCAAAACTGCCGATGCGTAACCGTTGGAAGATTAGACATCTTTTTTTTGAATGTATTGCTGGCCTGAGTGTAGAGATACAGTGAAAGTGCAATTGCAAAATAGTATCCCTGATTTTATAAAAATAGTTGAAACAAATTTTAAAAAGTTTAAAAACACATCAAGTGTAACTGGTCGAAGGTAGACGCAAGTTTGAGTAGATCTATTTGATAATTTTCTATAAAATTTTTCATTTAATCACGGGTTCACAATGCTTCCTTGAATTTCTAAAATTTTATTAGGCTCAATTTTTTTTGTGTTACTTTATAAGAATTCATGGAAGCAAGAAAGTAAGATAGTTTACATTAATTAAAATCGATAAACTCTTATGACCCGATGATATAATGACAGGTTGTCATCGACTGTGTTTGATCATTTATATATCTGTCGGTTCATAATTAGTGAAGCTGTTATATATACAACATTAATTTGTATATCTGTTCCTTTTCGGGAAAGACTAGAGAGACAGAGAGAGATAGAGAAAGAGAGAAAGAGAGAGAGATAGAGAAAGAGAGAAAGAGAGTGAGATTGAGAAAGAGAGAAAGAGAGAGAGAAAAGCGATGGCTTTTTTTTTCTTGGATGTGATCTTCATTCACCATTTTGTCGATATCCGAAGCAGTACACATGGCCTGTCAAAATGAGTCAAGCTAAAATTACCGGCGACCCAGAAGCATTGATAACGATTCGATACAGCAAATATTTGGAGATGAAAAAATTTTCAAATGCAGCTATGAATGAAACAAGAACTAGAAAAAAACCATTAACAATGAAGCCGAAAACAAAACAAGACACAAAAAACACACGGCCAACTGCAGAAATTTCGAACACTAAGGCAAAACAATACAAATCGTGTGAGTTTGTATCATCCGATGAAAATGATACGGACTCAGTAACAGAAAAAAAGAAAAAAGAAAATATGGCGAAGAAATTCAAGGTTGTAAGTGGGAGTACACCAGGACGATCGAGTATTACTTTTGAAGTAAATGCTTCGAATCCATCTTTCAATGAACCGACGACAAACCAGGAAAATATCACCAGTCGACAGCAACAAAATATCGGTGATACAACTATGTCTTCGGCGGGTTGTGTCGCTGATATTGTGGATTCTAAGTCTGTAGCCAGTACTACTAATCCGTCGGTACTTTCTTTGAAAATAGATCGGATAAGTAAAGCGACCACAGGCAATGAAACTGAAGATATAGCCGATATCGTCCGTGTTGGAAAACAGGACGTCGGCACTAATACCGAGGCAGCTGATAATCAACAAGTTAAAGGAAAACGTAAAAAGAAGAAAAACAATCCAACTATTGGAAATAACGATGTCAAACGTTTCCATTTTGATCAAAAAATCATGGACGGCAATAGTTTCGACAAACATGTCCGCTGCTTTCTCAATAAGATACCTGAATACCATCATGGATCATATAGTGTGCGTGAACGATATGAAAATATTACCTGCTATTTGCTGAAAAGGCATCTTGAGGATGCCATTTTCAGAACACAAAAAGACTGTAACCGAAAATTTTTTACAACTCATTAATGACTATTGCATTTTCAAAACTTTTTGTCAATAAACTTATACAGCACCAGATTAGAATACTGTAACATTTATCTATCACTTTCACTAAGAAAATATTAATTCAAAAACCACAAAGCAATACTATACCTTACCATTTTAATGAAACGTTCATAAAATAATTTTTATTAATTCAGGGAAGCATAGGATCAAAAAAGTGTGGGAACAAACGTTTCTCAGCATAATCGGATACATCTAGAAAAATCATTCTCAACATTCTAGAATGTTCATTAAACAAAATCCAGGTAGTTTAGAAATGACCTTGAAACAAAAAAACATTTTTATAAAATCAGCGAAGCACGTTAGAACTGTAGTTCTTTACACATTTTGCACAGCATATCAAAGCACGTCCACTGAAATTTTTCGAATCATCCACCGGTTACGGTTGAGTGATTTTTTTGAATTTTTTTTTATAAATTTAAGGAACCCATTTGAGCTATAGGTTCTGCTCGATGATTTGTGCAGCATACAGGACTACATCGAGAGAAAGTTGTTCCAACATTAAATTCCACGTGATTCACCTGTTATTCAGTTTTTAAAATTTCAGTTAGTAAATTTTAAAACTTGTTTATAAAATCAGGGGAGCGAATTAGAATAGTGGTTCCATGGCATGGTTGAAAGAGAATTTCCAAATATATTTAATGACATTAGACTGAAGTTTCTATCTGTGAGACTGTGTTGGGTACGGAATTCAATTTAATTTTTTTAAATAATTTTTATATAGTCGCTGAAAATGGTTGGGACAGTGTTTGGATTTTTCATAGTTAATGGAACTTTTATTGTAGTGATTGTATTTTATTGTTTTAGATATTTAAAATTTTTCTATCTACTTCAATTGATATGAAATAGTTTTAATTATGATGAAATTTTATTATGAAATGGAAGTCTTTATGAAGTGGCTTATATTTAATGGAATAATTTGTTCGTAATTTCTATCTACTGAAGTAAGACGATAGACGATGACATGGAAATTAGTTTATATTTGGCATGAGACAGTTGTCACAGAGACACGAAACAAGAAACATTAATGGTAATTCTGATATAGGGAAGAATGAAAGTGAATGTATGTTCATTTATTATCTAAGAGAGAATCAAAAGTTTAACATGTGTCATTTTCATAGGCACATAACTTAATCACTTAAACTGTTTATTTTGATAATGTGTGACATGTTATTGTATTTGTTTTTTTATCAATCTATGTGATGTTTCGAATAACTGTCTGTCAAATGATGCATTGAATCTCTTTTCAACAAATGATTATTTTCTATTCCTAACTAGTCAAATCTGTAAGTTGTTCAATAATATGAAATTTACAACTAACACAAACCCCTTCATAAGTGAATACACATGAACTATACATTTCTACGTTTTTTTTTCTCAATCTATCTGCAAATCATTTTAATTCTAAACCTTTTTCTATTCTAGATAGTTTTCAATGAGTGACTTGAAGAAATTTACTACAACATTCATCAATTTGATGTATTATCACTCAAAAGTAATTCTATTTGTATTCTAGCATATGATACCCATTTTAATAAATGATCTGCTTTGTCTGTTCTAGTCAATAAAGCAACAGATACGAATATCTTAAAAATTTTTCGACGGTCATTTTAGTTGAAACATATTATTTACCAATTTTCTGTTGGGGTTGTCCTATCGATGAATTGAGAAAATTTCTCATTTATGATTTGTACAAACAAGAAGTATTATGTAAACCAAGGATGATAGATATACAAGATAAATTTAAAGCATGGCATTTCAAACAAGTTGGTTTTTATGAAACTGGTCATCATCATCCATGGGGATTGCAAAATGCTATTTACAAAGTGTACAATGAATTTTTAGATAAAAGTCAACAGTTAAATACATGGAGTCAAGGTCTGTATCGACGACCATACCATCCAAAATTTAAATCTATGATTGACTATGCTGTCTATGATTGTCTATCTGTTACAAAATTGGCTGTTACAATGAAACAATTAACAGTAAGTAAAGCAATATAATCTTATCATTATTATGATCAAGTATTTATTCTTCTCTATCTTTTTTTTTCATTTCTAGTTCTAGCTTCATACATAATGAAGCCCCAAAAGATATTTGCTTTCTTCTTCTTCTTCTTCTGCTTTTTATTATTTTCTTTCATTTATCTCATACATTATCATGGATATCCGATTTTTATTTTCATTTATTCGCATGTATCAGATATTCTCTTTCCCATTATTCGTACATGTAAATTCCAGCACGTTTCTTGAGGGCATTTTCATTCTAGAATCTAATAATATGATAGTAGAAAGAATGTAACGATTGAAAATTTTCGTATTAACATTGAATCACGTAGTGCTTAACAATTCAAATAGATCTGTACTATGGGGGTGTCTATACAGAAACATGATGGAATGCTAGCTATAGCATATTTGATGTCCCCATAAATTCTACAAATAGTTTTTTTGACTGATAAGCAAACTGTTAGAATTCAAAGTCCACAAGCAATACATCTTGAGTTCGATTTAAACTCATTCTTTTCTTCGTCTAGTTATTACTATCTTAATCTCTACTATCACCAACTTCTATAGCGCCACACCCTATTATCTATTCGTTTTCGGTGATATAATTTTAAGAAGTTGCTGGATCAAAAATTATTTCAGATGATTCCTCTATATGAGCAGTCATCCTATTCCGCAATGTCGAACATTCCGGAACCCGTTCCGCCCCCGGAATCAGTTCCGTCAATTCTGGAACTAGGTCAAACCTAGATATTGTCCGATTCCCGGAATTCCACGGAATTCAGTCAAATTCCGATATTAGCAGAAAGCGGAATCACTCGGAATTCCGTGCAATTCCGGAATTAGAACTTGTATCACTATTCCATCTTCACTTATCCACGTAGTCATGATTCGATTCCGGTCCGGAATTCCGGAATTAGGACAGTACGGAATCGCTAGGAATTAGACGGAATTCCATAACGTAATTACATTCATCACCGAGCCGTAAGACGTATGCATTATCCACTTATCACTCAATTCCGGAATCGCACGGAATTCCGTGTAGTTCCGTTCAATTCCGGTTGAACCTAATTCCCGGAATTCCGTAACGTAATTGAATTCATCACCGAGCCGTGAGACGTATGCATTATCCACTTATCACTGAATTCCGGAATCACACGGAATTCCGGGAATTCCAAGCAATTCCATGTAATTCCGGAATTAGAACTTGTATCACTATTCCATCTTCACTTATCCATGTAGCCATGATCCGATTCCGATCCGGAATTCCGGAATTAGGACAGTACGGAATCGCTAGGAATGAGACGGAATTCCTAGGAATTCCGTGTAATTCCGTTCAATTCCGGTTGAACCTAATTCCTAGGAATTCCGTAACGGAATTGCAGTATGTGGGTGTCAATGTGATGTTGTGTTAAGTGTGGGTGTTGCCATAAGTGCGGGTGGGGATGTCAGTGTGGGTGCACTGAATTCCGGAATCGAGGGGAATTAGAGGGAATCCGTAGGGGTTCCGTGTAATTCCAGAATTAAGTTGGAAGGAATAAACGGAATTCCGGGAATCGGATGGAATTGCTAGGCATTGATTCCCGGAATTCCGGAATTGTGTTGGAAGTGGTGAACGGAATTGCCGGAATCAGATGGAATTGGTTCCGTGAGCGGAACTGGTTCCGGAATGTTCAACATTGCGGAATAGGATGTATTCTCCTCTACATATACTATGTTGAACTTGATAAACTTTTTAAAATATGTGAGTAAAAGTTCACAGCATGCAAGTAGTTCTTTTAGCTTTCTATTATCTATCTATCTGGTTCCGAAGAGTACACTCTTGTAACAGTGCAATCATGGATAAATAATGATCGAAAATTTAAAAAAACACTTGTAATCGATCTCTCTCTCTCGCAGTCTGTCGGTCTGCTTCTCTTCTAACTAACACAGTAATCAGTATCAAAGAGATATCGATCGATCTATTGTTTTTTTTTGTGATTGACATCTTCGAAACCACCCCCTATTGCCTGTTTTTTTCTTTATCTTATACGGATGAATTAGAGTACATGCAAACATTTTGTTTATGAGATTCCATTTAAACATACGTGATGGAATCTTTGAACTTATGGAATATTATAACGTAATACGCATTATTCATAGAATACGTGATGGTATGAAATAAACAACTTGGTTCAAAGTCCAGTTGCTCTCAAGATAGTTTATAAGTTTTTTTAATGGCATTCCATTTAATAAATACTTGACGGAATCTTTCAACTTATGGAATATTATTATAAAATATACATTATCCATAAAATACGTGATAGTATGCAATGAACAAGTTGGTTCAAAGTCCACTTTCTCTCAAGATAATACATAGCTTTGATTAATGGCATTCCATTTAAAAAATACGTGATGGAATTTAGAACTTATAGAATATTATCATAGAATATACATTATTTATAAAATGCATGATAGTATGCAGTGAATAATCGAATCCAAAGTCCACTTTCTCGCAAAATAGTATATAAGGAGCAGTCGATTCTGCTAAAGTTTCATTCTATTTCTTACACTCCAAGAAGTAAGTACTATCTTCTTCTTTTGATTTTTTAGTATAATGCTTTTTTCTTCCGTGGACAAAACCAATATGGAACAGGTCTGTCTATGTTTTAGCTATGGGTTTTACTTTAGCTATATACCCTCAAGATCTGCAAAAAAAAGAAACAATAAATTTTCAGTTGAGATCTTCTTAGATTCCCTTTTTTTTCTTTAATTCTTTGTAATCACTGCATTGATATTAATCTAACAATATCAATGTGGTATGAGGAAGGTATTGCCCAGTGGTAATAGACGTCCTTCCAGCCTTCGAGTGATTACTCTCTTCTCTGCATTTTCCCCTTGTGGTATAGATTTCGTCAATTGAATAGTTGTTTTCGTATGTTCAAAATAGAATAAATTAGATTTGCGCATGGTCACAGTGGCTATCTGTAGTGGCATATACCACCAGATAGAGCAGAATCAAGGTTATATAGTTGGGATTGAGTCTTTTTTTACCTTATTTTAATGGGAAAGAATATAGGGTGAAAATTCAAAAACAAAAAATTAGATAAGGTACAGTTTAAGATTTTTTTTGTTTCCTTTCTTTTGTTGTATTCTGTTCAAGATTATACAAGATTAATTTGTGTGTGTGTATGTGTGTAGTATCTACATTGAATAATACTCTGTAAAGATCATTGTGTACATAAAACTAAGCAAAGAAATATCGGTTCAAAAAATTATTCTTTCATTATAGAGTGACGATCTTTGTTTTTAAATTTTAGATTGCTTCTGAAAATACTGAATTATTTCGTCAATGGAAAACAGTTACTTGTCTACATGCTATTTTAAGCTTGATAAACTTATTAAAATAATAAATAAATCATACTAATGCTTTCGGTTTTCTTGCTTCTTTTCTTCTTTCATTTCTTAGTATTATAATAGTTTTTCTCTTTTTCTATTCTAGATCTCTCTATAATTAGTCCTGAAGAGTAATATCTTGTAAAGGATACGAAACGCGTCGGCGAAATTGAACTCTGCATTTCTTTAATTATTTCATTCAAAGCACATAAGTAAAAATTAATTTTTACGACTTTAATCGGTTGCTGACAAGCAAGAGTTGAGACTAGCGGATTGATCTGTATCCAAAGAGAGATATCGGTCGATCTATTTCTGTTTGTTTAACAATTTGTTAGTACTTTTTATTCGATAAATCTCTGATCATTTTTACTAAACAACATATTATTCTATTTCAGGATACACAGAGCTGATTACAGCTAGTGAACTTATCATTTTTCTCTACTGTTTCTCCTTCTAAATTTTGGTTTCGTAATATATATGAAGATAATCTCTTTCTATTTGCTATTGTAGATATATTTTAATTAATTTATAATTCAAGGTCGGTATGTTTTCCATTGGTTTACGACCAGATCGACGTCGCCCAAGTCAATTAAGATTAAATGATTTTATGCCAACACAATTACCTGACGGATCATCGAATCTACGAAAACTTCCATCGACTTTCGATCTAGATACAACATCCATTGCTCCACCTAATGAAAAAACAAATGAAAATGAATCAATACTTATTCAGCAAAACAATACAACAAAGACGCGTTGTTATCTCGAACGAAATCAGATTTTAAAGTGGTATGATAGTTATTCAAGCACTACAAAATCAATGATTAGTGATCCAGCGAATAGAGCATATATTTTAGCAACAGTACCCATCTACGACGAATGTCTACGAGATAATTATGAATTACAAGTCTGGCAATCATATTTTAAATTGGGTATCGAGCAAAAGCATTGGGCAAAAGAGGTCACTCAACGAACAAAAACATGTTATGATGTTGTCAATTGTCAGTTCATACGAAAGAAAATAAATCAATTAGTTGATAATATTGTACAAGCAGATGCTACTATTTTCGATGTTCAAGTTCAATTGATTCGCTATTGGTCACATCGAAACTCTGAAAATCATCAAACTATCGAAAGCATAGAAAAAAAAATATTGGAATATATTTCACAATGTACTCCATATGTCAAAAAGATGTTTCAAGGTCGTATTGAATTAGCCAAAGTTGAAATAGAAGAATACAAGGCTTTGACAGATTTCAATCAAATTGCTACTCCAGCACAATTTAATTTTCATTTTGTATTAGAATCCAAAGTTAAGCAATGTTCAATGAAAAATAAAAGTTTTGTTATGGTAACCAAACGTGCTGAATATGATCTTTTGCCAAAATTTATTGAAAAAATGGAATTCTCTTTTAAAATTGATGAATCCGTGATGAGTCAAGAGGACGTACAAGTGATGTACGATCAAGTGCGTAAAATTACAAAAGATTATCGTACTCAAATGATGGCATTATATGTACGATCATTAGCTCGAGCATATGAATTACTATCGAGTGAAATAAAACGAACGGTTGAGCTGTTTCCACAAGACAAGGATCAAGGATTTGGTGCTACAGCTGGTCATGTAGCATTTAAACATTATCATGAATTACGTGAAAAACGGTTAAACTTAGAAGTTGAACAATCACTTTATTTCTTAGAAGAGATACAACCAATGAAGATAAACTCAATAACATCTTGATTGGACTTCACGATGTCAATTCAATCAACATTTCCATGAACTTTGTTCAAGAATGATTTTAAAATTTAGCTTTCGTTTCAAACATTATTATATATGAAAAATTTATTTAATCTATCTAGAGTATTAGTATGGAGTAGTCGAGTTAGATAAATATATTTTATTCAGTTTTTAAGAATTTTGTGTTCTATTTGATTTGTTTTATTTCAACTAAAATTATTTATTCACCTTCTTTTCTTTATTGTAGATATATATATATATACATACATCTCTAGCCCTGAAGAGTACTATCTTGTAAAAGATACGAAACGCGTCGGCCAAATTAACTCTGCATTTCTTTTATCACTTTTATTCAAGCACAATATCTCAATTTTTCAAAATAATTGCGACTTCGATCGATTGCTGAAAAAGTAAGAGTTGAGACCAGCAGATTGATTTGTCTTTTCGTTAAGAGATAAATCGGTCTGTTTTCATTTGATTTTTAAGTCTGTGGTTTTTCCAGAAATCTGTGACATTTGTGGTTAAAAGCTTGTTACCAGTGTCATTGATAATCCAAATAAAATCATCTAAGTTATTTTGTAGAGAAAATAGTGAAAAGAAAGCGTGTAAAATATTTTTGACTTCTTTATAACTTACCACAAAACAAATTCTTATGTTCGTGCTTTATTCTAGATATCATCGTTAATTTGCCATTCAGTCCTGAAGGTGATCTCAGCAAAGCACGTAAATATGGTTGGACGACAACAACTGATACAGCTGCATCTGACATTCAATGCTTTGATAGACTCAAGGCCATGAAAATTATTCCAAAATAATGAACAGAATAGGTTTTTTACTTTAAATCAGAATATAGCATTTAATTATTGTCAACAAACAGAAATATTATCATAGAAAAGTTTGATTTTTAGTTTGGAAATTAGGCACATTAAATACATAGCACTTTCAATTCTTTCTCAAGCACAGAATAAAATTGTGGACTAGACAAGTTACTTGATTAAAAATTGTTCATTATATTTTAGCAAATGAATTGTGTGTCGAAGGGTGTGGGTGTGCTTTGAATAGCAACCATGACGCGTTTTGGACCTTGCTTAAGGGTCTCTTCAGATGGCTTTAAGGGAGGTTTTTGAGTTGTTTGGATATGGGAATATTAAAATGAGAAGTTAGTGATTGTGCGTTTGTGATGATTTTTTGATTAGGTAAAGATGAATTGTTAGTAAGCTACGTGATGCGCATTGGAGTCATGTTCGGGTATTGAAGAGTCCTGTCATTATTCCAGAATTCTAGAATTCTCATAGAATTCCGAAATTAATGGCATAATAAAATTCGATTTTTATGAATTGTATTGCCGTTCACAGCTTTAACCAACTGGAAGTTTTGGAACTAATGGAATTTCAGAATTATTAGAATTATAGAAATTATCAGAACTTAGGAATTATTAGAATTATTGGAATTATAGGAATTTTGAAATTCTGGAATTATTGGAATTTTAGAATTATCAGAGTTTTTGGAATATTGGAATTATCGGAATTTTAGAATAATCAGAATAATAGAATCATCTGAATTTTAGAATTTTAGAATTATGGAATAATCAGAAGTTTAGAGCTCTCAGAATTTAGGAGTAGTACCAACACCCACACCCACACCCACAAAGTCAATATGTAATTAAGGATTCTTCTGATTTTGTTACAAAACTTACAAATACGAAAAATGTTGATAAATTAATGATATCTTTTGATGTAGTTAGTTTATTTACCAATGTTCCACCTACCTTTACCATTGATTACATACTTGATCAACTGTATCCAGTCTGTTCAACAAATTGTTTACAATTATCAAAGAGTAAGCAGTGTGTCGATTGTAAGCGGCGCATTGATTTTCAAACTTTACTTGAAATAGCTACATCAAAAACACATTTTTCTTTTAATAATAAAAGATATGTACAGCATGATGGTGTTGCAATGGGTGCCCCTTTAGCTCCAATAATTGCTGATATCTTTATGGCTTATTTGGAAACAACATTAATGGATGAATTAATTAGTTTAGGTGTTTGTGAATGGCATCGTTATGTTGATGACACATTTGTTTTTATTAATCCAAATGCAAATGTTAATGACATATTATCCGTTCTCAATTTTTTTCATCCACCAATGAAGTTTACTTATAAAGTCGAAAAAGATAATGAATTAGAATTTCTCGAGGTAAAAGTCATTCGAATACCTGAACGACATACCCTTGAAACAACAATTTATCGTAAGCCAACATTTACTGGCCTTATTACAAATTGGAATTCTTATGTTCCTATAGAATATAAGAAATCTAGTATTACAAGTATGACTGATAGAGCATTAAGAATTTGTTCAACATATCAACTATTATCAACTGAGTTTAATGAAATTAGGAAGATCGCCAAATTAAATGATTATCCAACATCAATGGTTGATACCTTAATTGGAATTAAGTTCAGTAAATATCGTAACAAACAACAATCTAATGAACCAACAACAAAGAATTCTAATGATAATAGACAAATTATATACGTTGAAATACCTTATATTAAGACAACTACATCAGAATTGAAGAAACGAACTCAACACCTTGCAAGTAAATTAAGAACAGATCTTAACATTAAATTCTTTAGTAAACCACCGCCCAACACCAATACATATTTTCAATCAAAAGATCCTATTACGAAGCATATGTTATCAGATGTGGTATATTCAGTTAAATGCAAAGATTGTGGTCAATTATATATAGGAAAAACTGAACGTCAATGTATACGAAGACTTCAAGAGCATGGTGCTCCAAGAACAACATTCAATATTCAACAACAAGGAAACCATGATCTTGATGATTCAGAGTTAAGACGTTCAGCACGATTAAAAAACAAAACAAAACAACCACAACCGCAACCACAACCACAACCACAACAACAACAACAACAACAACAACAACAACAACAACAGCAATTAATTTAGATCAAGAACAAACGTCATCGATTAAAAAACATATTATCGAAACAGGCCATAACATGGATTGGAGAAATTTTAATGTCGTTTGTCAAGAAAATCATCATTATCGTCTTCTAGTTAAGGAATCGTTACTGATTCAAGCCCATCAGCCGGAACTCAATAAAACAATTCATTCAATACCTTTAATTGTCTTTCCTGATGGCTTGTCAAAAACTTACCTACCTGATCCAGCTAAATAAACTGTAGTTATAATTGTTCTTTTCTTTTCTTTTTATTTATTGTACAATTTTTATATTAAATAAATTTCTTGAAAATGATGACATAGATCATCGAAACGTCGAAAACATTGTATTTTTCTTTTTTCTTAATTTCTTATTATAAGAAGAAAAAACAACATGTTATTTAAAGCCGGTGTTATTATTTCATTTATTTTAAAGTTTTATTTCCTTTGACTTTCGATGTTTTTTCGAATATATCATTCCGAAAGATAAATGATATGTTTCGTTCGGGAATCGAATCAGAGCTGGGCAAATGCAGACTTTCTCGAGTACGAGTACGAGTACTTCGAGTATTTTGTCCACCTCTGAATCGAACCCATGATACGATAACTGGTTATCCGGAGCAGCGTTTTAACTATTGAGCTATCGAAACACGACTAACACATCATTTACTTTTCTGAATGATATATTCGAAAAAACATCGACAGTCAAAGGAAGTAAAAATCATTGCCATAAACATTTGAATAGATGCTAGCACTATTGCTCAAGAAGGCCAAAACAAAAGCTCAATATTTCGTTGTACTTGAAGCATGGGTGAAAACTGCATCGGAAAATATCTCGCATATTTTGAAGTTTCAAGTCTGAAGTAGGCTTGTCAATATATGTTTACTCGTAAGTTAAATTATCAGTAATTTATATTTAAAACACAGAAAAAGCACACTATCTGTTGACTTTTTTCTTTCACTTAAGTGATAATGATATTCTAAAATGAATCATCCCTCGCTAAAATGCGTTGTTGTTGATAACATTCATATGTTTTCTTGATGAACCATTGTTTTGTTGTGAAGTTTTTTTTATATAGATTTAAGTTTGAATTGACCATTCACCGTTCAAAATTAACTGAAGAAATGGTAAACGAAGAAGGCCGAGTTACATGCGGTATGCTTCCTCATCAAAAACTCTTTTCCCCATTTGTATTTCGCTATCACGCAACAGTTTTCATTATTTGATTTGTTTGTTGCAATGAGTTGAGATGATCTATTTTTTCTGTCTAGATTCGTCTCATTCGAGCAACGTTCACACAAATATTTTAGTGAAGACTATACTAGAGAAGCACGAGCATCACTTTAAAAAGTTAAGTAGTCAAGCTCAGCATCTCTGGAGTTGTGATGTTTGTTTTTCTGACAACTAAGGTGAAAATGGAGAGCGATTTAGATGTGATATCTGTGATGACTTTGATATGTGTCAAACATGCTACGATGCAGTAAAACTTGAACATCACATGACATTGTGCATCGGAATAAATTGGCAGTGCAAAAATAGTCAACAGCCAAACTACCCTCGGTATCTTACCAATTATTTATTATAATTGAAAACTTATTTTTCTTACGTTCAGATATCATTGTCACACCTGTACTGACTATGACCTCTGCAATCTATGTTTTGATAGTGAACAGCAGACAATACAATCTGGTGTGTATACTTAAAAGATCGACTCCCAAAACAATTAAAATGTTTTGGTATGTTAATGCTATTTCAGAAATGTGCTATAAATTCTAAAAACGCAATATTAATTAGATTTGAAGGATACCGATTTCGATACTCTAGAAGTATTTTTGGGTGATTGTGCATTACTATTGACAGACTAACTCATGTATTTGGAAGTTGCAAAAATATTTGAGAAAACCAATACTGCTTTTAATTGTATCATCTTTTTTTCATATACCCTTCGTTTCATAAACCCTTCAAGGGTTTAGCATGATTTTTAGGAAGGACAAGGGTTTATTATTCTACTCTTTTTATTTACAGTGTAGGTCTTGTCTCTTTTCATCGGTCACTGAAAGAACCAAATAATTCCCCACAAAGAACGATATATCTAGTCGTTCGTTCTATTCAAGTCATATTGAGAATACTCATGCTACTCTATCTATGTAGTTATTTTATAAATGAATCTTTCAAATTCATCTCCTAGTATGATTCAACTACTTGTAGGAAGGTGTTGAAAAAAACTCAAAAATATTTAATATTTAATCTGAAGTAACCAGCTATATATATATATATATATATATATATATGTCGTAAGACGAAAGTTATACAACATTACAAGGATGATGTATTCTACAAAATGTTTATTTTAGAGATATAAATATAGAGAGTATTCCTTTTACAGTTCAACAACAAAATGTAAGGAGAAAAAAGAACGACAGAGAACAGCAAAAAAACATACTGTCGGAAAGGGTTGTCGTGATAAAATGAAAAATTTCTTTTTGTTTATTATTTTCCTCATAATTCAATGGCAATCATGGACTATTGTATAAGTGAACGAATGATTCTTTTCAGAACAGTTTTCGAAGTATCTTGTCCATTATTGGATTCATCACTTTTGTTTGTTGATACTACTGTTGAACCGGCTGGATTAGGTGTTATTGTTGTTTTCTTTCGTCGACGTCTGGGCCGTTTTGTTGTCACCTTTTCTTCAATTGGTGTAGTTATGGGAGCAGCAGATACTTTCGGTAATTCATCTTTTACCGATGGAGTAGTCGTTCCTCCTACATCAATCGATGGAAACGCAGGTGCAACTGCTTTATAATTTGTATAAACGTACGCTAAAGAAAGAAATAATGCTATGTTCACATTTAAAAATTTGTTATTATAAAAATCTAACAGCATAAATGCAATTCGACAACGATGAAATAATATAAGAAAACAATCATGACAATAGTAGCTTTTACCTCCTACTACACCAATAAAAATAGTACCAACAATTCCCATAATAATCATCATCTAATAATCATCCATGAAAGAAAAAATAGGATCGAAAGTAGAAAAAAAACAGAAAAATTTTCTACATTTACCTTCATATTTTGTAACCAAAATTTGTTTTTTAATTTTCCTGCTTGTTGCTCAAATTGAGCTGCATGACTTTGTAATTTATCTTCAGTGAGAAAAAAAAAGACAAAAGATTAAAAATATAAAAGTTAATTTTCTTTATTTTTCAATATACCAGCTCGATCATCGAGAAGTGACAAATTTTTATCACGTTCTAACACCTTATCAATATTTTCCTTCATTATATCCACAACTTCGTCAATTTGTGCCTGCTGTTGAGCTAAACGTCTTGAACTACCAGGTCCTTGACCAGCACCTGGTGCTGATGCATCTCCTGCATGAGTTGGCCTATTTTAAAAAATTAATTTATTAAACAAAATTTTCATTTTTTAATTAAATATTTACATATTATGAAATGATTTAGTTTAACAATATAAATAATTTCAAAATCTAAAAATAAAAATCAATAACAAATAGCATGAAACGGGTTTAACTGTTGGCAAAATGGACACATAAAACTAGGCATATAATTCAATTCTTTTGATCTATGAGATACATACATGAAACGATATGACCGATAATAAATATTCTAGAATAGATAAAAAAAAATTCATGCTAACAGGATGGTAATTCCTATTGAACGAAATTTAGATAGTCACTAAAATAGTCGATTGTTGATTGATTGAAAACTAAACGATATATAGAATTTCAAAGTTTTTAAGTAAAATAGTGTCTGTGTACAAGAAATAGAAATATTTTGAACTTGTTGTGTTATACAGATCAATGGAGAGATCTATCGATAATGAATATAAGTTTCAAACATTCAACAATGGCTTGATGAATTGTAGGGTGGGCCGTATTGCTGCGATTGAATAGATAAAAAAACAAAAAAACAAATCTATACTTCATTATGCCAAATGTTAACATAATATCTACCATGAATAGAATGATTTCAGTGATTATAGCAGTCTTCAAAGAAAAAAAAATAGGAGACTATTCAACAACATGCACAAAAAAATTATATTGGGTCCAATTAGCGTTTTGCATGCACTGCTTCCTTTTTCTATTACCGAAATGCCATGGGATATAAGCTGTTTTTCCTCATTCAATAAAACTCGAAAAGGAAAAAATAATAAGAACCCTCTCATGTTATTCAATCTCGCTCTAGTTCAGAATGATCATTGAAATTACTGAATCACTCTACGCTAAGAACAGGAGACACGATATGCCTGACAAAGTCATTACTGTATTAGAGAGGCTAATATCTATTCGTAAGATTATTTTCTTAACGATTCCTCTGGGATCACTGTGCGATAATAAATGATTAAGATCGAATCATGAACAAATTTAACTTAGCAATGTCACAAGATTGCCACTCAATCTAACAAGTCTATCGCCATTATTCTACTAACTTGACTATACTGATGAAAGGTGCATACCCTATAAAGAGTTCGAACTAGTAGATTATCTCTGTCAATACATACACTGTATTTATTAGCACCATGGTGCTTTTTCACGTCAGAGAAATTGACTATCAAAATTTGAGTTGAAACTTTGTGCAGAGACAGGTCCAAACGAGAATAGTTTATTAACTAAAAGTTTAGATCATTTTTTTTGTGTGGGTATCATTATATCAAAGGACGTTATCGACGCCTACACACCGTCAAAAGTGAATCCTTGAAAACACTATCCATTGAAATTTGCGTTTGAACATGTTCTTGATCCAATTCACATATTTTCGCTAGATTTTCGATGCACGCGTTTTAACCATTGAATATACATATTTTTTTATTTAGTCAGTCTTTTGTGAAGTTTTAAAACAATTTTCATCACGTTTTCCATGCCAATGGAAAAATTGCCCTTACCGGTAACTTCCCAATATTTTCTTGATTTGGCATTTTCCTTTCAACTTATTTTAACTTGAATTTTGCGCCAGTTTATACTCAAAATAAATGTCAACTAAGAGAATTAACAGATCGAATCTATTAGCTGTTTCAAAAGAAGAGAGGCTTCACTATTTTCTTAAATGATTCTTTATAGAACGATCATAGAGCGCGGTGGTTTTCGCCATTAGAAAGAGGAGATTCGTGGCTATCAATACTAATGAGAGAAACGAATTTTTTTTTAAATTTCGCTCTTTTATTGTTACACTCGGAAGTGCTTACAAGAGTTTCCGTAAGAATTTACAGCTGTTTGATTATCACGGCAATGAACTTTTAAACATACAGAAGAGAGAACAAAACAATCATAAGATGCCATGCTTGCTAGATAGAGTGTGATGTATAGAGTTATACATGTAAATAACTCGAAAAGGAAAAAGAAATTAAAGGAGAAAATGAGAATAAAGAAAAAGAAAAAGAAAAGAAAAAGAAAAAGAAAAATAGGGACGCGTTAAAAGAGCGAGAACTAGAGAGCACGAAACATTAAACAAAAAAAAACAAAGAAACAAAAACTCATGGTTGAGTTCATTCAACTAAAAATTCAAGCCATTTCAGAAGCAGCGATTGATGTCTGTCACGTTTGCGCCTGACTCGCTTCATTCGAAAGAAATGACCAAGGTGATCATTCTTATCTTTATGGAATGAATCCCAATAAAATATATCATTGTAGAAGGGCGAGCGACCTAAATCTGATTTTTCAATTCGTTCTAAT